GAGCGCAGAACGACCCCGTTTTCAAAAAATAAAATAAAATAAATTCTGGGCTGTTTTTTGGCCCACCCGGTTTACCCAGGCAGCCCCCCCGGGCCCAACCGGCCGGGCCGAGCCCGGCTGGGCGGAGACCTCACCCAGAGGTAGTGTATATTTCGGTATTATTTCCATGTTCTGACTGAAGATGCATTCCGATTTTGCTCATTCTACAGAGCCACGCTTCACCAAATGAGGAAAATGGGATTGAATCTTCCCCTAGAACATGGAAGTATCCACTCCCACAACATGGAAATATACACTCCCAAAGACCAAAAATGTGGCAGTGTATATTTCCAAGTTCTAGCAACAGATTCATTCCCATTTTGCTCATCCTGTGGATGGAAAATCTCTCTCTCTCTCTCTCTCTCTCTCTCTCTCTCTCTCTCTCTCTCTCTCTCTCCACATTTACATCTGACAGCTCCTTAGTCCATACTCACACCGGGATTTCTTTTCAATGTATCTGTCCATCACGGTGTATCTCCCTATGGGCGTCGTTAGACACTCCTAGGGGACACGATTCCAAGGATTTAGTCTTCGTTCCACCTGTCCTCGGAGGTGAAATCGTAAATGAAAATGTGAAAACACTCCCGAGGACAAATCCTTGGGCTCCGAGGATTTCCCAGCCAAATCGTCCTCGGCTCGAAGGGACCTCGCAAGGTCGCTTGGAGCCCGAGGATCCGTGTTTCACGGAGAGGAGAGGGCATGCACGTAGACGTTACAACCGAGAATCCAGATCGTGATTGGCTGAAAGCCTGAAGTACAACTGTTTGTCTTTTTTTCTTTTCTTTTTCTTTTTTCCCTTTTTTTTCTGACATTGCTCTGAGGATTAGTCCTAGAGCCAACGCTCCGAGGATGAGCCTAACGAAGGCGACGAAAACCCTAAACTTTTCTGATGATTCATCCTCGGAGCCTGAGGATGGCCCAAAGGAGTGTCTAACGACGCCCTATGTTCTTGTGGAAGATTCCTTCTCATTTTGCACATTGACAGGCTGCTCAGTAGATGCACACATGAAACTGCTGAATTGCAGATGTGAGTTCGAATCCAGCGGCGACCACAATAAAATAGTTCTGATTTACAAAGAATCTGACGGCGTGCTGATGCCTTGGCCGATGGCCTCCCCAATGCTGTGTGTCACTCATGTTCTAAAAGAAACACCGTCAATGTTGTCCGGGCCAGATAATGGTTGTGCCTGGGGTGGGGCTGACGCTGGGCCGCGGTTTCGCCACGCCAGGTTCACTTGTGCTTGTAAAAGTTACAAAGACGAAAGGAAAATATCGTTCTCGAACTGCTGGTACACCGCTAATTTTAAGTAATTTATTCATTGACTAAGTTCAGATTCTTTAGAACGGATTCATAAATAATTTCGACAAAAGCTTGCCAGGCATTGGGCACTAAATGACATCCATTCATGGTGGCCAACCGAAACAGAAGTGAACCTAAAGTAATAGTGAGTAGCATAAATAAAGATGAAATTGATGATTTATTCAGATTTAGTAAAAGAAAGGTGCAGGTTCCCCCTGTCAAATGTTGTGGACAGAACGCCACGCTTTTGACAGCAGACAAGGATTGGAGATTGAAGATCATGAGCGAGCGTGCATTGTCTTATACACCCGAATCTGAAGTTTCTTATTGGAAGGCTACAAAGAATGAAGAGCTGGAGGCGGCAATCAACAACCACGAGCCCCCTCGGAATTACACCAACTTTGGAGAGCTGCAGAAGATGGACAACTCTCAACCCCGCTTCTCATATGGCCTCCAAATCCTCCTGAAGGTCATCTATTATCACACAAATACACTGACGAGTAGTACCAAACCTGTAACCAGCGTGAGGGGTGCGCCGAGGGAGAGGAGATAGAGGGAGAGAGTGAGAGAACACACACACTCACTCACTTGACACGACGGACTCGGACTGAGGATCGGACGCAGACACAGTGGCAAGGCACAAAGTCCAAGTCTTGGATTCCCGAATGCCGAAAACAGCAAGTCACACTGAGTACGAGTACAGCGGCAGAGAACTGGTACGAGACTGCCCCCGTGCCGTACGGGGAGCCGGTATAAGTACCGGTGACACGTACGGTACCAGGGGCATTTCTGCAAAGGCCCCCGAGGGCAGAACTGAAAAATGCAGTATTTGAAAGTGGCGCCCGAATTGCAGCATGGCGCCAGTTGTCCGAAATCCTACGGTACCAAGGAGGAGTTTGGAAAAAGGGCGCCAGGCCGAAAACGGGATGCAGCTGAAACAGCAAAAAGATAGACCAGGGATCGAGCCCTGGCGAAGTCCGTAACAAAACCACTACCGAGTTTGCAGGAACCTATCCAGAAGGAGGTTGGGCCAAAGCCTTAGTCGATCAGATCAAATCCCGAGTGCCCGGGCACGTCGATGGCACAGCCCACAGCATGTCTACTTCCACCAGAACCAATAGAGCCATACTTGATTATGCAAAAACAGACATGCAAGACTGTTACATAGACAAATACACACTTTCTCAGAACAGTCGTCACACTCGACGACAAGCCCATGTCACCATGTGCACTACAAAGCAAGAACAAGACCACATCCGCGTGGTACAGGGGAAGAATTGGGAGACTATGCACACCCACAAGGAACACCTGCAGCCAGTTGTATGTGAATGGATGCATACATAGCTGCACTGGGAGAAGCATAAGCAGCGACCTTCGCCTCAGATATACAACACCAACATCATTCACAGCATGGCTGCACTGCAAGAAGCATAAGCAGCCACCTTTACCTCAAAGATACAGCACACACACCATTCACAGCAACTCCCCCAACCAGACACACATATACAGGATGAGTGTGTGCTTTACTAGCTCTTACCCCAAGGCACATCTCCAATCAAGTGTGGGATCAGTTGAGGACTACTCATTCTGTACGGTTGAGCAACAAAGAACAGCAGACAGTGAAGAGCCAATCACAGGTCCAACACCCGTGGCCAGAGCTGCACCAACACCCATGGGATATGTGGGTTCACACCAAATGCTTGAGGGCATAACATAGATGGACTATTTTCGGCAATTTGGCACACACCCAACATAGAAGGGCATCAGCCCCCTACCACCAGTGAGGTGACCCACGTCTGCTGTTTCCACATCTTCCTACCTACAAATGAGAAAGTGAAGAACAATACTATAACTTATACACATGAAATTTACAATGAAAAGCAAATATCAACACAAGGACACAGCCCGTACATGTAGAAAATGATGACCAGAGACTGACCAAAAGGACATACTGACATCTATCTGCCAAGTTGCATGTTCTGACTTTCACATGCGAAGCAACCATGCACTGAACAAATTCAAACAAATTCAAGAAGTAAACCTGCACTTTACTATTTGTAACATGTAAAGGACGTCAGGACTTGTCATTTCACTTCTCTCTCTCTCTCTCTCTCTCTCTCTCCTGTCTCTTATACACATCTAGATGTGTATAAGA